CTTGTTGCGCAGTGAGAGCCTTCACCCAGCTTTGTTCCTTCTCTAATAGAGACCTCTAGATGAGTGTCATGGAGTAAAATCTACCAGACCTCACTGCCACTTTCCACCAAGCACAGATGCATAATATTTCTTTTGTTAATCCATTTCACATATAACCTCTCTGACCTACTTCTTACAGTCATACCAGAACACAGTATCTCCTAGAGTCAGCTTACTGATAGCATTTCACAATATTCCCTACAGAATAACCTGACAATTACTTCATGGAACATCTTCCCCAAGAATACCAGAGACTTTTGAGAGTGCAAGTGACAGACAATTCCTCTATTTTCTATTCAGCATCCTCCTTATTTTCTAAATCACAGACACGCGCAATTGATTTCATTCAATCCTGTCTCATAACATTCTGTGACTTTGTATTACCCATGTAGCACCTTTGGTAGAAAACTGAATGGTTTTCATAGAATGGTTTGGGTTGGAAGGAACCTTAAAGATCATCTAGTTCCAATGCCCCTGCCATGGGCAGGGACACCTTCAGCTAGACCAGGTTGCTCAAAGCCCCATCCAGCCTGGCCTTGAACACTTACAGGGATGGGGCATCCACAACGTCTCTGGGCAACCTGTTCCAGTGCCTCACCACCCTCACAGTAAGAACTTCTTCCTTATATCTAATCTAAATGTACCTTCTTTCAGTTTAAAACCATTACCCCTTGTCGTACCACTACACTCCCTGATAAAGAGTCCCTCCCCATCTTTCCTGTAGGGCCCCTTTAAGTACTGGAAGGCTGCTATAAGGTCTCCCTGGAGCCTTCTCTTTTCCAGGCTGAACAACCTCAACTCTCTCAGCCTGTCTTCATAAGGGAGGAGCTCCAGCCCCCTGATCATCTTCATGGCCCTCATCTGGACCCACTTGAGCAGGTCCATGTCCTTCTCACACTGGGGGCCCCAGAGCTGAACACAGACTCCAGGTGGGGTATCACGAGAGTGGAGTAGAAGGGGAGAATCACCTCCCTCGACCTGCTAGCCACGCTTCTTTTGATGCAGACCAGAATGCGATTGGCTTTCTTGGCTGTGAGCACAAATTGCTGGCTCATACTCAGTTTTTCATCTCCTAATACCCCCAAGTCCTTCTCCACAGGGCTGCTCTCAATCCACTCATCGCCCAGCCTGTATCTGTGCTTGGGATTGCCCCAAGCCATGTGCAGGACTTTGAACTTGGCCTTGTTGAACTTCACAAGGTCCACAAGGGCCCACCTCTGAAGCCTGTCAAGGTCCCTCTGGATGCCATCCCTTCCCTCCAGCCCGTTGACCGCACCACTCAGCTTGGTGTCGTTGGCAAACTTGCTGAGGGTGCACTCAATCCCACTGTCCATGTTGCCGACAAAGACGTTAAACAGTGCCGGTCCGAATACCGACCCCTGAGGAACACCACTTGTCACTGCTCTCCACTCGGACATCAAGCCGTTGACCAAAACTCTTTGCATACGACCATCCAGCCCATTCCTTATCCACCGAGTGGTCCATCTGTCAAATCTATGTCTCTCCAATTTAGAGACAAGGATGTCATGCGGGACAGTGTCAAACACTTTACACAAGTCCAGGTAGATGACGTCCATTGCTCTTCCCTTATCCACCAATGCTGTAACTCTGTCATAAAAGGCCACCAAATTTGTCAGGCACCATTTGCCCTTCATGAAGCCATGTTGGCTGTCACCAATCACCTCCTTATTTTCCATGTGCCCCAGCACAGTTTCCAGGAGGATCCCCTCCATGATCTTGCTGGGCACAGCGGTGAGACTGAGTGGCCTGTAGTTTCCCGTGCCTTCCTTTTTTCCCTTTTTAAAAATGGGGGTTATGTTTCCCCTTTTCCAGTCAGTGGGAACTTCCCCGGACTGCCACGACTTCTCAGATATGATGGATAGTGGCTTAGCCACTTCATCCACCAGTTCCCTCAGGACCCATGGATGGATCTCATCAGGTCCCACGGACTTGTGCACCTTCAGGGTCCTTAGATGGTCTCAGACCTGATCTTCTCCTACAGTGGGCAGTTCTTCATTCTCCCAGTCCCTGCCTTTGCCTTCTGCCACTTGGGCGGTGCAGCTGGAGCACTTGCCAGTAAAGACTGAGGCAAAAAAGTCATTGAGTACCTCAGCCTTCTCAATGTCCTGGGTAACCAGGCCTCCCGTTTCCTTCCAGAGAGGGCCCACATTTTCCCTAGTCTTCCTTTTATCACCAACATACCTATAGAAGATTTTCTTGTTGCCCTTAACGTCCCTGGCCAGTCCTCCTCTCTGTTTTGTGTCATCAGCAAACTTGCTGAGGGTATACTCATTGACCCCATCACCCAGATCACTAATGAAGATGTTAAACAGGACTGGACCCAGTATTGCCCCTGGGGTACACCATTAGTCACTGGCCTTCAACTAGACTTTGTACCACTGATCACTACCCTCTGGGCCCAGCCATTCAGCCAGTTTTCAATCCACCTCACTGCCTGCTCATCCAGCCCATATTTCATCAGCTTTTCTATGAGGATCTTATGGCAGACAGTATTGAAAGTCTTAAAATAGAAGATGGAATATACTCTTAAATCCATAGCAATCTCACCGAGTTAAAGGCACAGGACTCTGACCTGAAATCAGTATGTTACAGTACTCTGAATTAGCAAGGACAATGTAATAAGAAAAACAAGAATAATGTAAAATAAAATATGCTGAGTTTATATATCTAAAAGTATCATTTAACTTTATTTTTATATTGCATTATTATATTAATAAGCGTGTTCTGCGTTTACAATGTCATTGCTTCTGCAAATCAGAAAGGATCTCATCCCGCATCCTTCAGCTGTCATCCCTTTTCAGAAAAGGATGCCAATGCGGCATCTGGAATCTAAAAGATCAGTAGGATTCTCTGTCAGAAGGTTCACATAAGTAGTGACAGAAAACTGATTTGCTGCCACTCAGCACTTCCAGCCTGCTAAACCTTGAGGACTCACATGACTTAGTTTAGAAGGTGTATCAGCTTTGACTTTTTTTTTTTAGTTTTCTGCTATTTATCTGCAACTTTGACTTAAACAGCCTAATACAAGAACAACATTTTAAAATGCAACTTAATTAGGCTATATATGTAGAAATAATAAATGAAACAATAATTGATCAAACAAGCACAAGCAACATACGTCATTAGCTAAAATCAAGAAGCTGACTCCCATCTCACAAGGACTGAAAGGTAAACATCCTCTTAGTACCGTAATGCTTTGCATCCAAAAATCACTAACTTGTAGGCACCAGCTCTCCTGAACGCTGAATTCCTGAATTCCACACAATGCTCCATGAACGAGACAAAAGCTAGGAGCTTGGACACAATCCATCATAAATCATAGAATATTTATGAACAACTTGAATTTCATTTGTAAGGCACTGCCACAATTTCCAGTGAGCCTCAGCATTATGCTGAAGAAACAAAATAAAAATTCTGCTATCCTTATCATTTTCAGTGACCGGGCAGAAGCAAGACTGACTGGATATCAACTACACACTTTGCATCACAAGCCTTAATAAGGTATGAGCATCTTTTCTATGAACTAAGAACTAGCTCCTTGTATAAAACTGCACACACGTTAACCTCACTTACAGTTATATTCAGATCAGTGTAGAGCTATTGATTTTCCACACTCAAAAGAAGATAATATATTTTTAAGTATTTAGTTACATTCAGGATTATAACCCGAAGACGTGCTGAAGTAAATCTGATTTGCTATGGGAGGATTATTTGTTTGAACAGAGCAGGTAACTTACTGCAGAAAACTAAGTAAAAACTTACTGATCTAAAGAGAAGTTACTCTAGTTTGTTTTTCTGTAAGAGTCTATCTAGTGTTAGAAACAAGATTCTAAATCTTGACTGACACTATTTCCTGATACTAGATGCACACTTATTTTACAGGACTGGTACACACATTTAACACAGTATTTTCTGCTTTTACTAAGGCATTTAATACAAAGATAGCAAGGTGCCTTATTAGAATAAGTTTGTTGACTTGTGAATGCTCACAATAAAAAGAACAGCAGACATTTGTTCCTGTAAAAATGGGTAATTGATTATTTCTAGAACATCAGTGTCTCTAAAGCAAATTTACACTGCTTCTGGCAACTTTTGCACAAAACCCTATCATCTTTATCTTCAGAGCATCAGCAAAGGCTATTAAAATGCATTACATCACCTGCTACAGATCTAGGGTACAATGCTGTCACAAACCAACCACCCTCATCTACCACAAGTCAGGACCTGCAACACAGAGTAGACCCCTGACTTGTCAGCTGGTTGCCAAGTAGGCTTTGGTCTGGGAACGTCTTATTGCAAGATTAAATAAATCCAATTTCAGAGTAGGACACGAAGTGTTGCATATCTTGTAAAATTAAGATTATAGTTCCCCTCAGCTATTACAGTGTATAACAGCAAGCAATAGATCTATAAACTATATTTTGTTCAACTAGCAGAATATGCATTGACCATGCTTGCTCACCTTTGCTATTCCTCAAATAATCCAATTTTCTACCACAGTTGCTCACACACATAAAAAAATTATAAAGCCTGCTTACAAGAACATTAGTAGTTCTGAATTCAGTTTGCATAGTATTTGCCCCAGTAACATAGAGAAACCAAAGCATTGTTTTTCCAGATTGTTACCTCAGTACAGTCCCCCAAAGAAGGGAGGATTTGGCTCTTGTTCCACGTGGTAATTCATGCAAATACGCAAGATGAAATTGCAGAGAGATGTTTTTAAAACGAAAGGGAAAGGTTTGACCATCAAGCTTTCAAAATCTGGAATTTTTTGTTTTTGCAGATATGATTTATCACCCGAAAATGAGAGCTTACAATAAAAAGAATTCTAAAACTATGGCAACACTACAGAATCAATTGTTCAGTGATCACAGCTGGCCCAAGTCTTTTCAGCTCAGTAATCTTTCCTGGCCATTACAATACCCACATTAAAAGCATACCTGTCCTTGACGTCTTTCATAAGCTGCTGCAAGTCAATCTCCTGCTTCCTTAGGTTTCCAAATGAGGACTGGTTTTCCACACAGCCCTTCCCTCTGGCTCCCAGGCTGATCTTTCCAAATGAAGTTTCAATACTTCCTTGAACAAAATCTTCAAACTTCCCCATATATTTTGCAAAGTCAGACTCCACAATTACTAGGAAAGCAATAAAAGTAATTTCTACCTGTGAAGAGAAGTGCTGAAATGGTCCTGAAGTGATTGGAAAAATAGAAACTTAAAGAAAATATGACAGGTTAGTGAAGGCAAGGAACAGTACTGAGCAGGTAAATAATGAAATTTACAGCTCTGCAACTGTTACTTCTGCTTTCTCCAAATTTTCATCAGCTTCACTCTGCTATCTTTTATATTTTGCCTTTTTAGGAAAACATAAGGTGATTGAAACGCTGAGCTCAGATGCTGTGCAAGATTTATAAAGAATGACTGAAACTTATTTCAGCTACAAAGAAAAACTACAAAGCATACCTGCTTGTACAATAGGGTGAATATTTTGCCATTATCTTGACATATCTCATTATAGGGCTGTTCCAGAGCTCACTGAAAACCAACGGAAGCATCTAATTGGCTTAAAACAACTCTGAATCTTATACATCTATAAACCAAACAACTGACTCAGAATCAGCTAATCTTCCAAGCCAGCTACAATTAACATCTAAACTTAGGGACATCTATTTTCCTGTATGGAATTGTGATGTGCCCAGAAATATGGGATTCCAGATTGTCAATCCTAAAACCTGGTTAGGACTGCTGCAGCTGGACGATGAAAGAAGTATGAGGGTCAACCATTTTTAACAGTCTGCACAAGAAGAAAGGAAGCAGTGGTAAAACTTGCTTGGCTTTGCCAGTGCAAGCATTCCCTGGGCTACTGTCACCAACGACACTGTTTATCCAGTGCTTTTTGACCAGTACAGTTTCACGCTACTATCACATATTGGAATCCCCCCTAAAAAATTCTAGGGGAGCTCCTGCGGCTGCAGACAGCACTGTTATTAAACAGTAGGACTGTATGTCTTGACAAACTTCAGCACTCAATTTCAGTTGTCTATCTAGGCAAAACTTTTTTTTTTTTTAAACAAACATTTATTATTATTGGTTATAGTTAAATGAATAGTCAAGTGAGGAAAGATCCACTCATCTCATTTCCATGGATGGAGAATACTTCAGAGCATTCCTCTGAAAGGAGCTCTCTAGTAACACAATTGAGAATAACAAGAAAAAAGATTAGGCTTTGCATTCTTTTTGTCTGCAATAATAGTGCTGCCCAAGTATGGGTTTACCTGGTTTTATTGGTTTGTCTTCAGTAAGCACATCACTCAGGGTGACTGTCAAGAAATGATACTTGGGCTTCTGCCAGCACCAGAATTTCTTCCTCTTCGTAACTAAGCTCAGAAGCTGCAGCTTGTCTGAGGCGTTCAACTGGGAGACAGGGATCAAGTCACCTCCACCATCAGTTTCTCTCACAAAATTCTTTGTTGCTTTTGCAAACATCTTGGGGAATCAATTAAAGCCTGAATGAATACATCTGTTTTTCAACAACTGCAGGTGGAAAGTATAAATATTTACATTGTCACTTTAAGAAGTTCTTCATAGTATTGGTATTAATGCAGGAACAGCTAGTGTTTTCACCCCATCTTCTCCACTCTGAGCTGGGAATCATGACAGTTCAAACCACTTATCCCAAAGCAAAAAAGTTTTCATAGTAACAGATGAAATAATTTTAGTTAAAATTTTAAATAAGCAACAGTGAATAAACAAAAAATTACATGCTGCAAACATGATACGCAAGGCTGAAACATTACAATAATAATGCATGAAATTTATGATCATGTAGATAACGAAGAAAGAAAATAAATGTGTGAGAAAATAAATATTCCAATCTACAACTCAGAAGTTCCTTCAAGGAACAATCACAGGTAATTAATCTGTTAGGGAGGAAAAAAAACTTACAGAGCTTACCTGAAATTCTAAGAAAAAGCATCTACCAATGAGCACCCAGCAGAGACTGGCTGGGATGAGGAAAGCACTAGTACAAAAGCAGAGGATTTCTGCCTCCCCACAGAATGCTTCTTTTATCACCTAACATAAAATTATCTTATTCCATGTAAGGTAATTGGGTATTATTCACACAAATTATCTTGATCTTTTTAATAGTGAGTAAACACATATGGGGATAATAACAATTATTTTATAAAAAGCTACAAGTATTTCTGCTGGCAACTTTGTGACTAAGTTTTGTTTCTGAACTATACCTCTGGAAAGGCCCAATTAATTTTTTTCTTTCTGAACGTTTTTACCTTCGATGTTTTCCAATTTTCTGTTTTCCATTAGCATAACTACAGCTAAATTGAACATATGTTATTTGCAACTGTTATTCATATGTGCTAAACAGCTACTTACATTACTTTATTCTAGCTTTTAAATGTCTTAAATTAAAAAATATTGGCATCTCTTATTGTGTAAGGTTTTTCTTTATCTCAAGCAATGCATTTTGCTGTTATTTACAAGGAACTTTCTCAAAAAGGGAAACTGGCTAAACTCACAGGAAAAATGGTAAAAATGACCATTCACAAGTGTTAAACACACAATTCTAATAAATTAATTTTTGATCTTTTAAAAAAAATCTAATATTTTTAAGGTTTTCAACTCTGTGTTACTTGATCTAACGACATTTCCAGAATTAAATCAGGTTTTTAAAGTCGGCAGCATTCCTTTGAATTCCCCAGCTGACACTGACTGGGAAGTTCAACTAAAATCATAAGATATCTTAGCCAGGTATCCACACGTTCATGATTAACTACCTGTCTTGCTCTGCAGAGATGTTAGATTTCTCATTTACAAATACAGGCCAGAATAAGTTGGAACAGACTTCAAGCAAAAACTGATATTGCAGTGGGTACTCAGGATTATTGAGAGACCACAGGCTCCATGTTTTAGTATCAGATGGAGGACAGAGGAAAAAAAAAAACCTTTTAGCGGATGGGAATTTTCCATTAGCTTTTCCTAAATTCCATTTCAGAAAATATTTCACGCAGTATTTAACCAATTCATGTTGAGATATCTACCTCCTCATGGAACTCCTATGGCCTACTCTTAGTCCTCTATGTAAGCAAGTGTTTCCCAGCAATGCCGGCATGGAAAGGATTTGAACAATGTCAAAGTCGCATAACATTTTACTGAAGAGTCTCTGGGGACTTTAGTTGTAATTGTGGCTGCAAGAAACCTGCCGCACAGCCCCAGCTGTATGCACTGGGAGTACTTCCACTGACTTTCTTGTTCTCTGACCTTTTCCTAAACTCTGAACTGAGATTGATTTTTTGCATTCTTAAATTTCTCCTCCTTAATTTCCCTGGTTTTAATCTCAGTGAGAACATTTTAACAGAATCAGCAATGCGGCTCCACTGCAGCAGAAAAGAAAAAACAAAATCAAAACAACAAACAACCCCCCAACAGCCCAAAAAACTAGTTTTCTTTTTCCCTGGGACTTCTTTTGCATGATACTGTATGTCACAACCAACCAGATGACTGATGTGTAATGGAAGGGACCATCAAGTAAATTCTCATTGCCTGCATTAGCTGCTTTTCCCCAGCATAACCCTCTTCAAACATTTCTGTGCTTTACATGACTGTTCACTCAGTCTGATCCCATTCCTACATAACCAACTCACATAGGCATAGTCTCCGAAAACGCCCACCAATTTCTGAGAAGTTTATCACAAGACAAATTGCAAAAACCAGTTCCTATGATTTGGCATTATTACACACTCACTAAATCTCATGAGAACCATGAACACCGTACTATAAAACTCCCGATTCATGGTGGTTTGTCTTCACTCCTCGTCACCACACTTTTGACTAGCAAAAAAAGGACATCCAGGAAAGACCACAGAGTGCTTATGAGGGCTGCTGAGGCTCACCAGGCAGGAGACAGGACTGTCTTCAGACTCAGAATGAAAACTTCAGCATCTCGTACACCTTGCTGTGCTGTGAACGTCTTTGCAGGGAGCACATTTGCTGGTGCAGCTGTACCTGCAAAGGAAGAATATTCTATCCAAATTCCTGTTTATGTCTCTTTGGATATAGTGCCTTTAACACAAATTCTAAAATGCACCCAAATATCTTGTTTCACTAGTTCACAAAACAAAGACATAGAGCAGTTGAATATGCCCTTAGCCAACATCAGGGAGTTAATACAGCTACCAGGATCGATGGCATCCTGACTGAATGGACATGGAGTGGTTACAGACACAGCATTGAAAGAACTCTGTCTTTGGAGTTTCTTCCTCTGGAAATTTTGTTAGAGTTGTGCTTGGTTTGGTAGAATTAAAAGGGAAGGTATCAAAGCTGGTAGGAAGAGCCTGCCAGAGTGAATTCAGTCTTGCAGATTGATAGCTAGGTATGAAAGCAGAAAAGGAAGGAGTACCTTCCTTGCCTACCGAGAAATTTAAAATTAGCTGAACCTGGGCTACAGGACAATTATTCAACGAAAAGGATGAGATGAAGATATTTACAGCAACTTCATTGTTTACTTAAACGAACAAATCTTACCCTGCTTCTTTCTTTTATCACAGCTCCCTAACTCAATACAGTGAGACATTAGCTCCTAAGAAACATTTTATGAATAATCAGTGTTTACCTTTGTCGGCACAAAAGCAAGTTCTCAACAGTTGCCCAATATTTCTTACATTCTGTGTACACATACACTTACCTTTACAAAAGATACAAAAAAAAGCTGCTTTTTTTTTTTTTTCCACTTAACATAAGATTACCTAGCATACCGGGCACATTACACCGGGAATTTGGGAAAAGGGTGACAACTGGATCGCCAAATGTCAGCACATCCCTTGCCAATCCAAGCAGTAAGGAAATACAACCCCTGAAGGCCACAGACAACCACGCGGGAGCCGCGGTGTCAGAAGAGCTGCTAGGCATTAACTCTGCTGTGCAGCAGCAGTAACGGCCTTTGAATCCTAATGAAGTCGGAGTTTACGCCGAAAGGCAACTAAAGCGTGGAAGTGATGACAAGCAGAACGTGTGTTTTATTACAAAACCTTATCATTATTTTCACCTCCTTTCTAGATAATCTAAATTAAAAAACACCCAAAAAAGCTAACGTGCAAAGCCTAGCAGGGATGTTCACACAAGGAATTTCAGTCCTTGAACACATGCAGTCCCCGAAAACACATCCAGTGTATTTTAGCCCTGGACGTAGCCCTCTTTTGTGCTTCGGGGACTTCACGGCACGTGCCTCCGAAGACTTGACGCCACACAAAACCACAGCGGCTCAAGGCACCCAACAGGGACGCGGCACCCTGACCCGGGGCCGGCGGCTGCCGCCCCGCCAGGCAGAGGTGCGAGGGCCTGCGGCGGGAGCTGCACGTTTTGGGAACGGGACCAAGCCGCCCTTCTCCTTGGTGAGCAAGCCACCGGCCACCTCACCGCGACCTGCGCTGAGGCGGCTCTGGCAGGCGTCCGAGCGCCGGGATCCCCCTCAAACGCTCCTGCGGCCCCCGCTTAAACCCCTCTCGAAACCACCACACGAGAACCGCAGCCATTCGGCCGCGTTCCCCCCCTCCGCCCCGCGAAGGCGGAGGGCGCAGACGGGCAGGCTGGCAGGGAAGGAAAGCGGAGCGCCGGCAGCCAGCGAGGCGGCCGCAGCGGCTCCCCCGTAG